ATCTACAACAGGATTGTGGAACTGCAATTCAATCAAGGCCCCGGGGACGAATGAAGACTTCTGCTTTATGTTTCTGTTATTCTGTTTTTTTTTTCTTTTCTTAGTTTTTTTCTCTGTTCTGTTTAATTTGGGGTACCCACGTGACCCCATTGGACTGTAACTAAAACAATCTATTTGATGCAGTCAAATAGGGGGAGAAGTATTTTGCTTAAAACTGTCACTACACACACACCACAAAATATATGTCTCTGGTCTGTTATTTCTTGTGCAGGTGCAGTGGTTATTTGTCTCCATCAAATAGGGGGAGATTGAAGCACTTGGTGGATTTGATGAAGACATAGATATAAATTGATGAAGACGTAGATATAGTTTAGTGTGTGAATGTGTAGATGATTAGGCTAAGTATAAGTACTTAATCTCTTGATAGGCCATTATATTTTGTGATAAGCACCTTAAAATGTTGCATCCCATTGAAAATCATTTTTCTGCATGAAAAACTTACATTTAAGTATTAAAAGAACAAACTAAGTTTTTTCAATCTGTTGAAAAGGATTTTCAATCTGTTAAAATCACTTAACATAATAAGTGGTTACACATAGTCGTATTTTCAATTGATTGATTCGCAGAATCAACAAGTTAAAATAACTTAATGAATTTTTCAAATATCATGGTTTCGCATTTTCAATATGTTGAAATGATCTTTAATCTATTGAAACAGAAAGATGTTTTTTAGTCTAAGAGTTTTCAGAAAATCAATATGTTGAAATACTTTTCAATCTGTTGAAACAGAGAGGTTATATTTTCTGTTTAAAAATCTACAGGATTTCAATCTGTTGAAATGATTTTCAATCGGTTGAAACAGAGAGCTATCATTTTTCATTAAGCTGTTTCAATCCATTGAAAACTCGAATCAATCGATTGAATGAACTTTTAAATGAAATCAATCGATTGAATCGACGTTTAAATCGATTGAAATGCATTCTGATCGATCATAGTTTCATTCTGATCGATCATAACTCGGTCTGATCGATCATACTTCAGTTCTAATCGATCATAATCAATTCTAACCTGTTATATCTTAAATCTAATCAATCATTTAATTCTCTGAAACAGTTTTTGACAGATGAAACATTCTGAAACTATGTTTTACTCTATAAATACAGATTTAATTTCTCTTTTGAAAGATAACACAATACAACACACAATACACAACTTGAGAAAACATTTTGAAATCAATCTGTGAATCTTTCATATACGTGATTCTCTCTGCATTCAAGAATACTCGTCATATCATAAGGTGCTTTGATCAAAATTGTGGTCAATCAAAGAGAGAAAGTGCTGTGTTAGAATCGCTCTCGGACAAATTATACCGATAAAGCTGCAGTCCAGGTTTTCTCTTTTCATACTCTTGTAAAAGTGTGAATTGTGCAGGTTGGATTGTGATCTGCACTTGGTACAATGAATCGGATTTGGTTACTCGGGAGGTTTTCAAGATTCTATCTTGTGGGTTTGTAAGATAGTTCTTGGTGTAGATTGGTGAACATCTACGGTTTGTATTTTTCACTTGGTATTAGTGGAAACTTGACAGATTTGTCAAGAACTGGATGTAGCTCTGGATTAGAGTGAACCAATATAAATTTGTGTGTTGATTTTCTTCTTTCATCTCTTTTATTTTCTGCCTATAAACTTGTTGTGTTTAAAACCAATTTACCTTTGCAAGAATTGAATAAAGATAACTCATTCTTCCAAAAGAAAGTAAGTTTTGAGAAAAAATTTTAAAGTTCAATTCACCTCCTCTCTTGAACTCAACCATTAATTCTTTAAACTTTCTCCTTTAAGGTTGTCTTTTCTTGGAGTGCTTGATCAAGGGACTCCTCTTTCTTCTTCCTTCTCTGCTGCTCATGCGCTTCAAGTGACCTGGCAAGCTCTTCCATTGAGAGCACCGACAAGTCCTTGGACTCCTCTATTGCACAAACGATATTCTCAAAGTCTTTGGTTAACGAACTTAAGATTTTCTCCACCACTCGGCAAGTGGGCAGCATCTCTCCATTTCTTCCGAGTTGATTCACCACGGTCTCAACACGGGAGACGTACTCGGCAACCCCTTCGACCTCTTTCATTCTCATGTTTTCAAGCTCGCCTCTGAGAGTTTGAAGTCTAACTTGCTTCACGCGATTATCCCCTTTAAATGTTTTCTCCATAATATCCCACGCTTATTTTGAAGATTTAGCATTTGTTATCTTCATTGCTTGATTCCCAAAAAATTATGGATATGGCTCCAAAACATATTCAATCATGGTATGGACTAATCTACAATTGATAATCTAATGAATTTTATGCAAGTCTCATCAACTTAAAGATGTTAAACTAGTCATTAATGTGATTTAGATCATTTGAAAGCTTAGGAATACTAACAAGCACTAGAACCATTTGTCCATTCAATCTACCATTAACATCATCAAAAGCAGTATTAAACTTGTTGTTGACAAATCAAAAGGGAGAACGATCAATAACATTAAGGAGTTCTCAATTCTCATACATTTTAACATTCAAATTCATCCAAGACAACACAGTAACACAGTAAGTGATACCTAAGAACAACAAATTTTAGAACCAAATAATTATTCTTGTTTTGATCATGAATGATACAACTGGTATTCAAAGATTTAAAACTGTCTTTTCTCTTAATTGTCAATTATTACGTCCTCAATTTTTATAACAGAAAACAAACTTCTGACTAACTACTTGATTACACCAACTGTTTCAATTTAACTATGTTTAAGTTTACTCAAGAGTAAGACCATCCAAGTTAACTAGGGTTTCCTTTGTTGGGAATATTACTTTATTATCTTTTATTTAAATTAGGTATTAAGAGATTTTATTATCTTTTAAGAGAGAAGGTAAAAAGACATTAGGTTATTATTTTGATTTAGGTAGTTATGATTGAGATATTATGAATATTTAATATTTTGTAATATTTTTACTCTATATATACATAGAGTACATGAATAGAAATATACTCACATGATATATCAAAAATACATATACATAAAATCCTAAAAATTCTCAACAAATTGGTATCAAGAGCTTTGGTTCGATACAATGGAAGGAGAAAGATTTTTTTCACAAGTCACAGTTTTTTATGGCGAAAGTTATGACTTATGGGCTGTGAGAATGCAATCCTATCTTGAAGGATTGTATGTATGGGAAGTTGTAGAAGAAGATTATATTGTTGATCCACTACCTGAAAATCCCACCATAGTTGAAATGAAATTTCACAGAGAAAGAAAAATGAGAAAAGAGAAAGCTAAATCATGTTTGTTTGTTCGTGTTTCACAAATGATCCTCATTAGAATCATGACGCTAAAGTCACACAAAGAAATTTGGGATTATTTAAAAGATCAATATGAAGGGGATGAGAAAATTCGAGGTATGAAAGTTCTAAACTTGATAAGGAAATTTGAGATACAAAAGATGCAAGAGTCTCAAACAATTAATGAATACTCAAACAAATTATTGGGTTTTGCTAACAAAATAAAATTGTTAGGCAAAGAATTTTATGATTCCAGAATAGTTGAAATTTTTTTGGTAACTGTGCCAGAGAGATATGAAACATCTATTACATCATTGGAAAACACAAAAGATTTGTCTAATATTACTTTGACAGAAGTGTTAAATGCTTTACAAGCGTAAGAGCAATGAAGATTGATGAGAGGAGGTCATGCTGCTGGTGAAGGTTCTTTACTATATCATGATGGAGGTTCTCTCCAAGCCAAGAACAACAAATGTACAAAATCACAAGTATTTTCTATTTGTCCTTATTGCAAGAAAAATAATCACACACCCAACAAGTGTTGGTGGAGACCTGATGTGAAATTTCATAAATGTGGTCAATGGGGACATATAGAAAAGATATGCAAATCACAACCAGAGAAAATCGTTCAAGTTATAGAGGATAAAGTAGAAGAGGTACTTCTCCTTGCATCAACATGTTCTACAATCAACAAATCCACGATTTGGCTTATAGACAGTGGTTGTACAAACCACATGACTCATGATCGATAAATTTTCAAAGAGCTCAAAGAATCACATATTTCTAAAATGAGAATCGGTAATGGAAAAGAAATGGATGTGAAAGGTACGAGAACAATTACAGTTAAAAGTCATTCGGGTATCAAATTAATTTTTGATGTTTTATATGTTCCTGATATAAATCATAATTTGTTAAGTGTTACTCAATTATTGGAAAAAAGTTATAAGGTGTGTTTTGAACAGAAACTTTGTGTAATTAAATATACAAATAACTTGGAAATATTCAAAGTTCATATGAAAGAAAAAAGTTTCACTTTAGATTTGATGAAAGAAGAGATGATTACAAACAAGGATATAAAAGAAAAGTTAAAGAAAAAGCATGAAGAAGATTTCTTGAAGGAACTTGATGTTAAAGAGGAAAATAAAGCTGTAGATGAAGAAATCGTTTTCAAAGTCCATCAAAGAGTCAATGGTACTACCATGAAGAAGTTTAAAAGAAACAAAGGAGATGAAGTTAATAAAGGAAGAAATACTTTGATGAAGAAAATAAGGTTGAATGAAGATGTGATCTCATACAAGAAAGAAGATGATAAGAAATACAAATAAAAAATAAGGAAAAATTATAAGCAAAATAAAAGAAAAATAAAAAATTATCAAATTCAAATAAATAGATATTAAAGTAAGGAGGAATGTTGAGAATATTACTTTATTATCTTTTATTTAAATTAGGTATTAAGAGATTTTATTATCTTTTAAGAGAGAAGGTAAAAAGACATTAGATTATTATTTTGATTTAGGCGATTATGATTGAGATATTATGAATATTTAATATTTTGTAATATTTTTACTCTATATATACATAGAATACATGAATAGAAATATACTCACATGATATATCGAAATACATATACATAAAACCCTACAAATTTTGAACATCCTTGTCATGGGCTACATTAAGTGTAATGTTGATGGAGCTTCTCATGGATGCTCCCGAAATTGCTGCTGGCGGTGGTATGGGTTTTCTACTTTTCTTGCTTTCAACATTGCATTATATGTTGAACTTATGGCTACCATGATTGCCACTGAATTGGCTTCTAGTAAAAGCTAAACAATCTTTTATTAGAGTGTGATTCTATGAATGTGATTCAAACTATCCAAAACTTTGTTATTAAAACTTGGCATCTCAAAAGTTGTTGGACCCGTTGTATGTTGTATGTTGCATGGAGTTAACTAAAACTATAATCTTCAAAATCACACATTTAGAGAGGGAAAGAAGTGTGCGGATAAGTTTGTTAATATTATATTGATAATAGAATTGAATTTCAATCTTTTACCTGATTTCATTAAGACCGATTTTTTTAAAAACAAGCACAAATAACCTTAGTCAAAATTTTGTTAATATTACTTCTCATGGGTTTTGGTTGGTTGCCATGATATTTGTTTTCTTTTTCTTATTTTAATTGAGTTTTCAATTTTTTTTTAAATCATTCAAAATCATTATAAATAAAATATTTAAATATTTATCTTAACAAAATGTTTGTAATATGCAATTATGAAACATGTATGATATGAATATATTCTAATTAAATTTGTAACATAATTTCAAATTCTTTAAATTTTAAAATAATAGTATTTTTAATCTAAAATGACACTAGATAACACCATTAAAGATTTATACAAGAATATTTACATAAAAATAAAATAAAAATCATAGAAAAGAGATATGGGTACTATTGGCCATAAATTACTCATTCAAAAGCATAAATTGCCCAACAAAAAACAATCATATTCTCGCCATGCCTAGGTTTTTCCTTTCCTACTTTAACTCTCCATCATCAAAATTCACAAACTAAAACAAGGACAAATTGAACGTTCACACTACTATTCCATGAATATCTCACATAAAAGATTTTCTATGGAAATCGTATCATTTCCCTCCCAACCACTTGAGGAAAAAAAATAATTAATAACAAACAATTTGATTGTCATTCTAAAAGTTAGAATGTGAGTGGAGACGCAAGGAAAAGATATCAAATTATAACACAATTTGATTCACAATGCCAAGCAAGCTAAGGAAGGCAATTGGAGCAGTGAAGGATCAAACAAGCATTAGCCTAGCCAAGGTAACCAATGCAGCCAATCTTGAAGTCATCATCCTAAAAGCCACAACCCATGATAAAAATCCCATTGAAGAGATGTCAATGAGATTTTGAACATAGTCTCCTCTAACAAAGTGTATGCAGCCGCATGTGCTCATTGCATAGGCAAACGCATTGGTAAGACCCACAATTGGGTTGTTGCCCTCAAATCTCTTATGATTGTACTTAGAATCTTTCAAGATGGTGATCCATATTTTCCTAGGGAAGTCTTCCATGCAATGAAAAGGGGTTCTAAAATCCTCAATCTCTCAACTTTCAAGGATGACTCCAATTCTAGCCCTTGGGATTACACTGCATTCATTAGAAGATTTGCTTTGTACCTTGATGAACGGTTGGATTGCTTCCTCACCGGAAAGCTCCAACGACGATTCACGTATCACAACCGGTTTCACCAGAGGAACCAAATGAACAAGACAGCCAATGAACGAGGCATCAAAGACATGAAACCCTCGATGGTGCTTGATAGAATTGAACATTGGCAAAGGTTGTTGGATAGAGCTATTGGCACAAGGCCTACAGGGTCAGCCAGGACCAGCCGTTTGGTTCAGATTTCAGTCTATGCTATTGTGCAAGAAAGCTTTGATTTGTACAGGGATATCTCTGATGGGCTTGCTGTTGTTTTGGATAATTTCTTCCAATTGCCATTTTGTGCATGTGCTGCGCAACATTCAATGCGTGTGTTAAATCCTATAAGCAATTTGACGAGCTATCAGCTTTCTATTCTTTTTGTTCAAGCATTGGGGTTGGAAGGTCCTATGACTACCCGAGAGTGCAAAAGGTTTCTGAAGAGCTTATGGAAACATTACAAGAGTTCTTCAAAGACCAAGCTTCTTTTCCTACAAATAAACACCTTTTTCCTTTACCCAACGATCTTACAGGTTCAAGTTCATCCCATGATGAAGCAAGTGAAAGATATGGATTTGAAAGTTTTTTTGAAACAGGATCCGAATTTGAGTCGCAATGTACATCATTGGAAGATCTCATGAGTGCTAATGATGCTGCCCTGAGTCCTAAGAGATCGCTTGAGGAAGACACGTATTCAGAGCAATCAGACAAAGATGATAAAAAATCGCTTTGTGATGATTATGATAGTGCAAATGATATTGGTTCAGCCACATCATTATTTGCAATTGATCAAACATCAAGGTCGAGTTGGGAGGCAGTAAATTTTGATGAATTGCAGGCGGAAGTGCAACAAAATCAAACAAATGAGTGGGAGCAACAAAATACAGAAGCAGTTTCCAGTAATATCTCCAAAGATTGTTGGGAGTTAGTATTGGCAAATACAGTAACTGCACCTACTGAAACATCACCCAAACTGGCAAATGTGTTTGACCCATTTGTCAACTTATTTGATCAAGCTCCAGTTCCTCAACACAAGTACAATCCATTCCTGGATGACACAGAGAATGTTGCACCTCTTGCAACCACTAGTGATATATTAATTGACATGTCACCAACATTTAAGGCAACAACACAAGCCCTTTATGCTCAGGATCCTTTTGTATCAACCATCTCAGATCCAAGTTCCAATTCCATAACAAATCCACATCTATTTTTTGGTTACACGCATCCAAATGAGACAGCAAAAGAACCAACTTTCAGAGCTCAAGGTTCTTCTGTAGGGACCAACATAACAGTGCCGTCATCTTTTAATACTAAAACTTCGGATAACATGATTACACCACCAAGTTTCCAGACTCAATGTTCTTTTAAGAATGATTCAATTCCAATATTTCAAGTGCGCAAGTCAAATGTTGATGCCATAATGGAAACACCAACCCTAACTGCTCTTCAGAATCCTAACCATAGTACTGTTCCCTTACACTTCCAAGCACAACATTTTTATTCTTCAACAATGCCACCAACATTTAGTGTAAAGGATTACAATGGGACACCATGGGCAACACCAATGGACAATGATCCTTTTGGACCATTGGCAACATCAATGGACAATGATCCTTTTGGATCATGGCCTAGTGCAAATACCGGTGGACACACATTGAATGTGTCAATGCAAGAGGATAGTTTGTTGCGGCAACAACGACAATGGTTGGAGCAACAACAAAATATCATATCAAAGCATATGAGTTCAGTTTTCATATAAAAATGATTGAAAATTGAAATTTTGTGAAAATATGTAAGTAATGACTCGCTCTTTTTATCTATATTTTCTTTTTTTTTCCTTCCTTTCTTTGTCATTTTGTTTTTATAAATTCTTATATATTCACACTCCGACCTATATAGTTTTTATGATTGTGCCGAAAAGCCCCTTGAAAACGAACTAAATTATGAAAATAAAACTAGCTCAAAATAATTATATTTTAAAATATTTGATAAACTTGAAACATTCTTTCAGAATAGCTGATCAATGAGTAAATGCCCAAATAGGTTTTTAACTTAAAAGTAATAATAGGGCATATTCATGCCATGTATACTCAATATTCACCATACAATTAACGCAACTTACTAGTTAGTTCTTATTTCTAAATCAACTTAAATAAGAACAATATTAATTATTAATATAGCCATTTTACATGACTTAGTGATAAAAAAATGGTTACAAATGATACCAAATATCTTAATCTAACAAAGGTATAACTCACGTATATTATTAAAGACAAACCTCACAATTAATTATACTTGAGAAAGTGTTAATAAGCAAATATCACAAGAAAAAGAGATTGAATTGCAATTTTTTTTTTCAATTAAAGTATTTGAAAAGGTTGTCATAAAGAAAAAAGAAAGGACAAATAGAGAAATGCAACGATTTTTAAATGCTTTGTTTTCCACCACCACTATGCAACATTCAATTTTTAATAAACCACCAAGTTCTAGTATAACATCATAGAGTTATGAGTTTTCTTTCTAAACTATTCTAGTATTTTTCTAGTATTCTTTCAATAGTTTCCTTAAACAATAAATCAAGTATTATTTTATAGTTAAACTTCTTCATGTTCAGGTTACTCACCCAAACTAAGGAAGGTTTAAATCTCACTAAGACTAGATTAGAACATTAGAATGTTTGGAGATTGAATGCTTTGTATTAAGTCACTTCTATTTATTCAAAGATGTTTCTTGAGAGAAACTTTTCAACATTAAATGTCACATAATACATGTCACCAACATACATCATTATATGATGATGAAGTACTCAACTTCTCTTCCTAAAGTTATAAGGTGACTATATGACCTCATAGGACATGTCTTGAAGTTTATCATTTGCAACATCGTTCACTTCAAGTGTAGGGTCTACCTAGTTGGTACCTTGGTCAATATAAGTTTTTTTGTTTTATATGTAGATCCCAAAATTTTATTAGCTCTACTTACTTTCTTATACCTGTACCAGGAATCCAAAATGTACCTCTGGTTGAAGTTCCAAAGAACTGGTATTCCCTAAAGAGTCCAATTTACCTGTATAGCACAAGGAAAGATCTCAATCGGCTAAGGCGAGGGTATGAAGCTCCACTATGGACGGGGAATGAAAGAGAGGAGTCAGGTAAGCATATCGATTCAAGCAAGTCCGACTAGTTGAGGCACCGCATTCCAGACTTGTCATGAACCGCCATTCATTTAAATTGTTGTTTCAACCTAAGACAATAACAACATACCAACCAAATATAATCAAGATAGTTATTTCTCGATTATACTTACAAACAATGCTGCCATTCGAAATGTATTATGAAATATTCTTCGTATTTTTTATTGCATTTTAAAAAAAAAAATTTACCCAAAATTTTCTGAAGACTTAAATTACGCCACTAATAATCAAGCACCTTTCTTTCATCAAACTAAATTATTTATGTTTAATGAATAGATCGTCAGGACGATGATTATGTCATTAAGGATTAGAAAATTAAGTATGTGTTGAAACCATGAGTAAAAAATGAGAAGATTTAGTAATTTATAAACGTAGGAATAGTAAAATGGACTAAGTTTAGTGGGTTGACACATTAATTCATCTAAAAAATGGAGACGGATTGGTATTTATATTTCACTAGCTTGTTTTTGTCTATCTTCTCTAGTCTACCAACTTGACAAGTGAAGGGTGGGGTATAATGTGGGGATAAGCTAACCCGATATAAATAAATATTTATATATCAAAATTAAAATATTATATTTTTTATATTCTTATTATTGAAATAGTAAATATATTATTATATTATAACTTAAGTTATAAATATTAACCAATTAAGTTTAAATTATTATTATAATTAGTTATTTTAACACATGAATATAGTAATTTTTTAATTTTCCTAATAAAAATATTAATTAATAAATAAAAAATTAATAGATATTCATATAATTAAATATGTATTCTAAAAAAAATATTAGTAGACTAACCCGTCACTACAAGAAAATCATTAATTACAGACAGATATATAATCATTGGACAATGAGTGATTATCAATGGAAATTACAGACAAAAATTACCTAGTGATTACTGACGAAAATTACCAACGGATCAGTAAATTAATAATTAGTTTTCGATGGATATATCCATCGGGTAAATTAACAATTAGTTACTAACGGATATATATCAATCGGTAAATATATAAATATATTTGTGTTTATATATTTTATATTTATATATTTACAAGAATATACATTTACTTATATATAAATATAATTTCTTTGTAAATTATTATTATAGAAAATTATAGTAATTTAGTGGTTGGAGTATCAGCCTCCAATTTTAAGATATTAGGTTCGAATCCTACCAGGTGACAATTCTCATAATTTAATAATAATTCAAAATATAATAAAAATAAAATATGATAAATAAATAATTTATCGAATAATTATTAATGGTTTTTTACGGATGTATCCGTTGGTAATTACCGACAAGCTAGAAATAAGGTGGGGTAAAATAAGGCGGTCTAACTCGTTTTGTCATCCCTATATACTTTAAGAATTTAGAATGAATATGGTCATATATTTTCTTATATAATGAACTCATGTTACATTATTAAGAATCTTCCTACCAAAAATTCTCATCAATAATTCATGATGGGACGGTAAAAATTTCATTAAAAAAATTCTTTACCATATTTTATTAAAAATAGTTATACAAAATATTTCAAAATCAAATGGATTTTACTAAAATTTGGTTCTAAAATTGATTACATGCAAGAAAAGATATTAACATATTATAATAGTTATGTTAAAAGGATATTAACATGTTATAATGGTTGTCTTAAAAAGATTATGTCTAATGTGCATGATTAATATCACTTTTAAAATATTTACTTTTTCCCCTTTTAGAAGAATAAAATAGAGTAAATATTTACCAAAATATTTATTTTATTATTGGAGGTTTATATATTTTCATTACAAGCATATAATGAATGAAGATAATATAAATTTTTGTTGCATAAATTTTATTAAAATATTATAAAGATTTCACAAGTGTTAAAATACAACTATTCTATCAATTTAATTCAAAATATAACAAGTGATCAAGTGTTCATCGTAACAACATAATTAATGCATTCAATCGTTCAAATGTTTTAGGTAGGTGTTTATCTCAAATCACATCTAAAATAAGATTAACCATAGGCTTAAAAAAATTAATTAAAAAAATTATAGAATATGTAAATTAAAGATCAAAAGGTCTTTTAAATAAGTTATGATGAGGTTAAGATTAAAGTATGGTAAATTAAATTCAAATAAAAATAAAGTTAAATATGAACTAGGAATCAAAGAGAAGAATATGAACTTGTGAAATATTTTAATAAAATTTTTATTAAAATTTTAAAATGAAAGAAAAGAAAAGAAAAAGGAAATGAAGAACTATTTATTCCAATATGATTTATTTTAATATTTAACTTTATATTTATTTGAATTTAATTTACCATACTTCATATTAAAATAAAGTTAAATCATATTGGAATAAATAGTTCTTCATTTCCTTTTTCTTTTCTTTTCTTTCATTTTTTCTATATTTTTACATTTTTGTTAGTTTTTTGAGTGAATTCATGCTCTTTGAGCAAAAGTATTTTTGTTTTAACATTTCTATTTTTTAAATAAATTAAAATTCAAATCGGCTCAAGGAATTTTTCTTGCATTGACAAAAATTACACAAACTAACATACATTTTGTATAATTTATTATCACCCTTGTAATTCTTTAAAATCATTTCTAATACAATTGCAAGACTTCTCAAATCATTAAAAGTTAACCAGATAAATATGTTTTTTCACTTTATTGACTTGTAATGTGAATTAAATTAATAAAAAATGATAATATAAGACTCAAAGTGGCTAATAAAAGTTAATAATTATAGGATAGGTTAATTTTGACTGGAGTTCATAATAAATAAATTGCTTAAATAATCTCAATAACTACATATGATCAAGTTCAAATAAGAGAAATAAGTCAAGTTCTAAAATAAAAAATAAAAAAGTGAGCACCCAATCAAAGAATAATTAGCCTAAAAATTCAATTTTAGAACCATTGTCATATATATTTTAACTTGTTCAACTTCTGTTTCTTTTCTCATTTTTGTTGCGCTTTCATCACTTCTCTTCCTTCTCATTTTTATTTTCAACTCCCTCCCTAGAGCACCCCTCTTCCTCCTCACTCCACTCCACTCCTTTCCTCTCATCCCTCACCTTTCTCCTTTCCATGGTGGTTTCTAGTGATTGTTGGTGGTTTGTTGAGGTTGCTAGGGTATTTAATAATGATTCTTCTCCCTCCCTCTGTGTGAGGTCACTTCGTTTCTTACTTTTCTATGATCTTAGTGGTGTTGAATAGTGGTGGCGACAATGATGGTGAACAATGGTGGTGGTGATGATGATTGTGATTGTAGTGATGGTTATTGTGATGGAAACTAGTGGTTGTGGTTGTGGTTGAAGGTACATTATTTTTCTTCTACATAAGTTTTTGTTCTTCATCACCTTTGTTATGATTATAGTATATTGATAGTGATTTTGTACTATTGAACAAATTTGTGTTGAGCCTAATTCTTGACAAATTGTATTTATAATTATAAAATGTCTATATTTTAGATGTTATGTTGTCAAAATTTTAGAAAAATATGGATCAAAGTTGGATTAATTATATATGCATAACTAATGAGTATGAGAAAGGAGTGAAAGAATTTGTACTACTTGCACAGTACAAAACTTCTACCAACTTTGATGGAGGAAGATTTAGGTGTTCATATGTTAACTGTTTCAATGAAAGAATACTAAATGTTGAATAAATTGAAAGCAATGAGGGGGAGATTGATGGAAATGTTTCTGCATTCCCAAGAGACGATTTTGATGATGATTCAAGTCAACTACATTCAAGTCAACGCCATTCAAGATGAATTTAAGGACAAGCTGAACTTATGATGTAGGTGACAATGTGAAACATTTCCCTACATGCCCAATATATGTTTTTGATAAAGATGATGATTCAAATAAGCCCAAGATGATTCCTGAAGACTAGATAGAGTCTTAGAATACTGGATATGAAGGTACAAGTTGATGAAGTAATATTATGCATAAGTTTCCAAAGCACAAGTGTGATAAAATTCATAACATGATATTTTTCATTGTCATAATTAATTATGATGCACCAGAAATGGAAAAATGATTTTCTCTATCATAATTAATTATACTGGTAATATAATCAATTATGGAAATTCAAATTTGAAAAATATATCCGTTTTAAAGAATAAATATTTTTTAATACATCCTGATTTTCTCTATGATATTATTAATGTCCAACGGCCATTTTCTGATGCTATTTTTCTATTTAATTAAGTTTTGATGAAAAATAAAAAACACACAATTACAGAATTCGAAAATACAATTTACATTCAATTAGTTTTGAGAAAATAATTCTGAGCAAGGCAACAGAGATATTTTACACCTTTTGAGAAAACCCTCTTCTCTACTGCCTTCTGTGCTTTCATTGTTAATCACACTTGTTCTTGGAGATTGGCATTCTACAGGCTTCTACAATTTGTTGTCTCCATTACCCAGGTGTGTCCGTTCTTATTTTTATTACCTTCATCCTTTTTGCATTGGTGGAAAAGGAGGCGTTTTTCATCCTTTGATTTGTTCAGAGGAGGTGTTCATCCCTAGTGGGATTCTAGGGAGGTGTTCATCCTTAGTGGGTTTCTAAGGAGGTGATTATCTTTTTAATTAGTTTACTTTTTACTGGTTCTTCTGCTGAGTTGATTGTAATTTGTAAACTGAATTTGAAAGATAGTGAATGGGGAGTCACTCTTGTGTTAAGAGTTGACTGGGAACTGGATGTAGGATTGGCTATACCCGAACCAGTATAAATCTCTGTGTGTTGTTCTCTTTTCCTTATCTCTTTCTCCTCTCCTGATTATATTATTGCTTCCGCTTTAACAAATTATTGACTCACAAATAAATTTTTAATTTGACATCTATTTTAATTTGTGCATCTATTCACCCCCCCTCTAGATGTCATTTGTCTAACATAAATTAGGGAATATCTTTTATGTGATTATTTTCTTAAAATTTATACAACTAGGACGTGACATGGTGAATTATTAAATTTGCAAGTTG